GTCTGAAACCTGAGCAGAGATTTGAGGCAGGACGCTGTGGCGGGAGATGTCGCCGTCCTCTTCGTTGGGGGCGTCGGTTGGCTGTACAATACGGGTTCGTAGCCGCTGTACCAGGGACTCCACTGTCTGACATACCAGACATAACAGTCTTGTATCGGAGGCAGAGGGCGGGTGACTCACAGGGATGGAGGTTGAGGCCAGAGCGAGGAGGTTCAAAGAAAAGTCGAAAAGATCCAAAGAGCCCACATAAGCTAAAACAGAGGGGTAAAGCGGAAGAAGATAAAATAAAAGCTATAGCTTGTGCTGGGAAGAATGGTGGTTCAAAAAATCGGGTTTGACCGAAGACAAAATCAAAGTGGCCGCGTTCAGTGCCCTCGGTCATTTCCGTGTTTTTTGAGATTGGTCTCAGTTAGAAATCCTACAATACAGTGGAACTTCGTGGTTGGGGAAGAATGAAGGTCGAGCACCGGATCAAGCTGTTTATTATTCTGAGCTTTCGGGCTCCTGCGGGAGTCCACCGTCAGAGATAAAGGCGTCCACGAAAAGCAAGCGACAGTTATAGGCGGTAGGAGCCAATCAAACGTCATAGAGAAGGGGGGTTAGAAGGAGGGAGAGGTTAACGCGTTTAATCCGTTCCAGTATCGAGCTCGCCATGTGAAACGCTCTTCTTGCAAAACGTAGCCAATCAAGTTGCATCAGTTCATTGATTGGCTGCAGGTGACCGAAGACCCACACCCTGGGAGTAAGACTCAACGACGAACACAGGCACACACACACACACACACGCACTGACAACGGATTAACTGAGCGGAGGCTCGTCAATCGAAGGAAATGTTCTGCTAATGGCTCGATCGTTACCTGAAATGCTCGTAGATGGGGCTGTTCGTCACCCGAGGTTCCACTATACATATTTGGAGCTGGCTAAAATGGTCGACAAATCGGTGCACACCGCTTCCATTCACAGGAGCTGAGATCGCTAGGACATAAAGTTTATGGGTCTGGTGTTTCGAATTCGCAAGGGCGTGGAAAATTAGAATGAGGATTTGGTATACTTGGCGATAAGATCAGATTGGTAAAAGCTGCTCCAAAGAAAATTAAATAAGCTAAAATTCATTATACTAGGTTCACTCATCTTTGTTGGTACTACTTCTCGTCGCCGACCGCTTACAACGGCTACAGACTAGAACTCTGAGGCAAATGTAATGAACCCATTCTGTCCAGCATCTGGATCGGGTGGTAAAAGGACAAGCATGAATGAATGTAAGGTAGGGTTTCCTTGTGGGCTGTTCGAAAGGCCCTTATGAAGTCTGGCAACCTACGTAAATGTTTTAAGTAGGTTGAATTACCTATAATTTCCAGTATTCTACTCACCATCCGTCGACCCATGATGACGGTATTGAACTGCAGAGTGGTCCCCTCAAGGTCACCGCATACCATAACCGCATAAATCAGTAAACTAAGCAAAGTTGGCCTTTTAAATTATCCATGGGAATAATCGCCTACTTACCAATTTTAAGTAGGGTTATTTACACAATCGTCCAACTTTCGTATTGCGTTAACCTTTTTTCTAGTTGGTGTTGGTGATACCACTAGAAAATGTACCTCAATGACCTCGTCCGAGGTTAAGGTACGCTCCCCCTACATATCCGCGTTCGCCGTTGGTCGGGCGGGGGGTTAGCGATGATATTAACGCCCATTTCAGTGTCTTCTCCCAAGGTT